TCATGTAAACACAAAAGCATCCCAACACCCTGAATATTTGATAAATGACTAGACTTGTGAACTTAATGGTCTATTAATAGGTCCGGTCTGAAAGAATCTTCCAGAAATGTTATGATTTTACAGCCTGTTACCAGCCATGGAGCACATTGCAGCCTGTTAAAAGGGTCACTGGCCCTATTGGCACCTGGAGTAGGGCAAAACCTCCATGGATTTGTCACGCAGAGACGGTAACAGAAATTGACTTTGCAGTACACTCCCATAGCACTCGACAAGAACCGAGGATTCATGTTTAACGCCGCAAGAGCCTCTCCGCATCTGTGCTGTGACCTTGCCGCAGTCTTGTCACAAGGTCGGCTTCTTACTGTACCTGCACCTCGCTGGCAGCCAGCTGTTGCCCTGACTTGCTGATACCCGCCCACACAAACCCACGCAGAAAGCGAGCAGAGTAACGGCACACGCAGTGCATACTAATGTGTGCAACAAGCAAGCTTCTTATTGAATTATTGAACCAAAGCGAAAGGTGTGGTTCATTCCATGGTTAAGGACAAAAACCGTGTATAATGTCCATCCATCTACTGTATTTTCTACTCCTGCTTGTCCTTGTATTCATACAGTAGCTTTCGTGATGGGCTCTGGACCCATGCAACCCTCTGTATATTGTGTTTATTTTTAATATAAGGCAGCAGAACAATGGATAGCAATGCTATTTGAGATGTTTTCCAACCCCCCGTCCCCCCAACCTTGTACTGTATGAATGGTTGTAAAATGGATGGAGTTCAACTGGCACATAGTGACTTGAGATCTTCCTGAACATTGCCTCTAACTTTGACTATTGTTTGTGCATGTGCACAGAATCACAGTTCACAGAACTCAGCCTGAAAAGCATACCACTTACAGGCTCTGTGTTCATACTGGGAGACATTAATGCATGTGAGGGAAATGGTGGAGATTCCTGGAGGGATGTAACTGGGAAGAATGGCCTCCTATATCTAATCCTGAGTAGTGAATTGTTGTACTTCTGTGCGATCCATAGTTTGAACATGTTTGATCACAAAGACATTCATACATGTTTATGGTACCAGAGCAGCCAAGGCCAAAGTTCAAAGATAGAAATGTCTTCTGACTTGAGGTCACGTTTTTTTGACATATGGTTTGAGAGCAATAAACTGATCTGCACTTGGATTGGATTTGGTACATGGGGAGGAGATCAGATGGACCAAGACAAGTGACCCAGACAAGCAGTGGAGGTTTGTTGGGAACATCTGTGTGAAACTTTTTTGGAAAGAGCCGTGGTCAGAAGCCAGTAGGTGACTGTCATAGTGGTAACTGGATAACTTGCTGGTGGATTTCTGTGGTTAGGAAGCTGTTAAACTGAAGAAGGCAGCCTTCAAGGCAGTGTTTGCACGAGGGTCTTCTGAGTCACCTGACAGGTACCAGGAGCCCTGAATACAGTTGTATTGGCAAAAGTTCCTGTATGGAGAGAGACTAGGTGACCCCAGAGATGTTTTAGGAAGCCATTCGATGCCTCTGCAGAGGGAGGTGGCACCTTTCTTAGGCTGTGGTTAGATGGAATAGAGAAGTGCTGATCAATTCAGGAGGCATCATCAAGTAGTGCGAGGAAGAGTGTGAGGAGATCCGCAACGCAGGAGATATGCGCTCTCACCACGAGGCAGCGGCGGAAACTTAAGCCACGTGGTTCCAATGTGCAGCTTTGCTCTCAGGGAAACATTATCAAACAAAAAGCTTTTCACCAGTAGCGTCAGATTTTATTCATTGAGTCCATAGAGATGGCCATTTCACTGGATCAGTTCAGGTTGAGCACCTTGGTGTCTGCAGACGCAGCGCTGTGGGGGGATTTAAACTGATCTTTGTCATTAGCTCATCACTGCTGGTTCGTGCTACATGATGGCATATAATAATATCAACTATGTTTTTAAATTATGATACGTCTGACCTGCTGGGAAAAAGAATCAGAAATTTACAACTGAGAAGTTACGTGCATTGATATCAAGGGAATGTCTAATTTTGTAACGTTAATGTAGTTATATAACGTTTACGAATATATAATGTGTGGATGGAATAATACCTGTTAATCTACTGCTCTTTCTAAAAATATCCAGCTGTATTTAGTTGTATTTCATCAGAGTCTTAGTGATTTGTTTTAATATCGTTAAGTATGCTTAATTTCACAGAAATGTAATTGTACGGTTCAGTGCTGTGATAGTCTGCCTGGTTTTGCAGGTCTTGTCGTATATCGCACGCCTTAAGGAAGGACTTGGGCTGAATTCACCAGATGTGTCAGCTGCAGAGTTTTTCCTCTCTAAGTGCCGTCACCTCGCTGTCCTCTCAGAGACTCTCTGTGAGCAGGATGTCACTGCCCAGTGCCTGGAGCTCAGCCCTCTCCCGGCTCCTCGCCATCGCTCTCCATCACCGCTTCCCTTTTCTGCTTCTTCTCTTCACAGCCATTTCTCCTGCCTGTCATCCAAGTACATGTGTCCCGGCGTCCCAGCAGTCATGAGTAACCTGCTGGCCAACATCAACGCCTACTTCGCCCACACCACCAACACCACCAGCACCAACATCTCCGCCTCCGACCGCTTTGCCGCCTCCAACTTCGGGGTGAGTCCACAGCTGTCCTCGCTATTCGAAGGCTGGGACAAACAGAGAACTCGGCCTCACCTGTGCACATCTACTTTATGGTTCCCCACAGAGGGAGAAGTTCGTCAAGCTCTTGGATCAGCTCCACAACTCCCTGAGGATTGACCTTTCCAAGTACCGGGTGTGTATGCAGGCGAGGGGGGCGAAGTGGGCCGGGGGGGGCAGTATTCCAGTTTAGGCTGTTCCTCATGCCAGTCTTACAGGAACCTGTTTCCCAAATAAACATGAATGCCAGATTCAGCTGGTCCATAAACGTAAAATTATGAAACAAGAAACAAAATAACTCATTGAATATAATTTCATTGTCATTAAAAAACACATTTTCCCAGCATTATCAAATGTATTATCTTCTCACCTCCTTTTAGCCCCCACTGGTATAAACATATTTATCTGTCATTTCTGCAGTGCGAGAATAATTGTGACCAAGAAAATTTAATATTACAAATGACCTTATAATCAGGATATTATTGAAATGTAGCAAGCAGTACACACCACCATTTTATTTTTTCTTCCCTTTATGAAATCCTTCATAGTGTTTGTCGGTCAGTTTATAAGGAAATGATAACTTGCGGAGATCCACGTATCCTGGAGTTTCACGCTGAGGAATTATGAATCACGTTGGGTGATTTTAAATCCTTCATGCCGACAACGTTGAAGTCCTCTTTTATCTCCTGCAAAAACGCATCCCATATTAAAGGCAGTTCCACTTCAAGTATCCCGTTCAAAGGTGATGAATAAAAACCATGTACGAAAGGCAGAAGGTATTTTTCTATTCTGAAGACCTATTATCACATTCTTACATGCATTACAGTATATGCACTCAAATTGCAGGGATCAGGTGCTCAACTTTCCAAATGACAATACATCTGCTCTGAATAATCCTCTGCTTCTCTGCTTGGCCACATTGAGCAAAGGCATATATGTATACTGTCGTGCCCACCTGCCTCTTTTCCACATGTGAAAAACACGAGACAGACAAGCATAATGATACTGCAAGTATGGATTTCACCCTTTCCGTAATTCTAGGCTCAATTGGATTTACCTTGCTCAAAACAGCTGTCTGAACTGAACACAGCTCTGAGTCTATCTCCTACTCCCACTGCCATGCCGTAGTTTCTGAACACAGAAAGCAGCCATAAAGCTTGAATTCAGTCTTCACAGGGACCCTTCATACCTGTAATTCTAGTTTGACAAGCACTCCAGGGAGGTAGTGAAAGCAAGTGAGAATTCCCAGTTTTAAGCCCTGCTGTCTGCTGGGAAGACTCTACGTGTTTGGCCTTGAACATCTCTCACTTCTTCTCGCTGATGGGAATTCCGTAGGGAAGACCCCCAAAGCACAGCTGTTTCAGGGCTTTGGCCAATATATGACAAGTGATGCCAAAATGCAAAATTCATTGGTGTAAAATCACGCTGTGGAATGACAGCTGACAGCTTTCACAAATCTCAGGTAAAACAAACCCATGTAGCCACTGTCCGCACTCATATCTTGTGTACATATGCACGACATCAGGAATGTTTACATGGAACCGCTCTGCAGCTGGGAATTCCACAGCAACAAACCCATCATCCTGTATCCTTGTGGGAAGCGACGTCATCAATCACTCTGCCCACTTTATAATGTAATAGCACTTATAGCCTGTAACTTTTTTAAGGAAAGAGCCAAAGGATTTGTGGCACTCATCAGTGTTCCCAGTGACTAGAGGCATGGACAGAACAAAGCTATGATCCACAGTGTACCCAAAGCCACTTTTATGGACTTGACTTTAATGGGATTTTTATTTTATCACAAAGATGGCCGTGAATTGTTTTGACAGTGAATTATCTCCAAATGGGACCTTTTACGGTCCCCCTCATGGCTTCATTTTAACAACTTGTCTCCCAAGAAAGGCCAGCGCTTCCTTGAGGCAACAAGAAAAAAACACTCTTCCTCTAGGACTCAGACTGATTGAGAAAAATTGTCAACAGAGTTGGCTAATGCTACTTTCTGGTTATCAGGATAATTTCCCAGCCAGCAACCCAGAGAGGCTTCAGGACCTGAAGTCCACAGTGGACCTGCTGACAAGCATCACCTTCTTCAGAATGAAGGTAGGGAGATAATGTGCTCCAGTATGTTACACAGCTGCAACCTTAACCGGTTCTCCTTGACGGCTTCAGAATTAGCAGATGTATTATATCCTGTTGTTAACTGAGGTCAGGACTTTCCTGCAGACTGGCACAAGCCAGCGTAGCAGATGTCAGGAGTGCCATGGTGGGGTGGGATTGGCCTCATTCTCAAAGAAGCAGACATAGGATTCATGTCTACTGTAGTGTCTTATTACATGAAAAGGAACTGTCAGTAAGCAAGATGGAGGATGGATGTCTCAGTGTAGGGGAAAGACCGTTTAATTATTGCGGTCTAATCACCAAAAATATTAAATAATCATCTGTTTTGTCACAAAGCCCCCAATGGCTAGGTTTGGCTGTGGGCTCAGTGTCAGCCTTGTTTTTCCTGAATGTTCTTCAGGTGTGTCAGACTCTTTGTGGGTTTGACCCATTCTATCAAACCCAAATAAAGTCTTCATTCCCTCCTCCCTTCCTCGTGGCACTTGGGTCTATTCACTGTCCCGACTGGAACATGTGTTATGCAGTAGGAACAGCAGAAGCAGGTCATGTAAGCCGGCTGGACGTGGTTCTGATTGTGTTGTGCAGGTGCAGGAGCTGCAGAACCCACCACGGGCCAGCATGGTGGTGAAGGACTGTGTACGGGCCTGCCTGGACTCCACATACAAGTACATCTTTGACAACTGCCATGACCTCTACAACCAGCTACTGGATCAGGTAAGAGAACAATGTCAAGAGGCGTCATCTCAGTAGGAAGGACTTTGACCAAGTCTCGTTCCGTCCAGTAAATGCAAACATCTCGTCCCAAATTCCCAAGCACGGTTTTGCATGGATTATTAGCACATAAAATAAGCGTGTAATACACATAAAATCATTGTTCAAGTGTTTTAAATTGCCACTAAGCAAATTTACTAATTGAACTTTACTTCATTATCCACTTGAAATATGATCGTGACACATGAACTGTAACAGAGTGATGAAAACCGTATTTCTGACAATAGCTCCACAAAATGAAGATCATTCAGTCTTGAGATAGAAAGGAACAAGATGTCTGTGTGACTGACAAGGAAAAGTCACTACTGCGGTGATTCCTCACAATATTTACATATTGGATCATTCCAGAGCAGAACCATAGTCTCCCTAGAAAGTGTCTTGAATCCTCTTATTGTTGGTCCACAATGCTGAGAAACACACATTACAGCCTTTGAGTGACAGTGCATTATTGTTATCACTCCGCACCTCACCCTTGCTTTCAAATATAAAACCTGATCCTACAAAATCATGAGGGAAGTTCTGTACTAGTGTGAAATTATGTAAAAACATCTCCTGGGGTCTGCATGAGCAAGCAGCAAAATAGCTGATAATAGGTGTTTGAGGAGAAAGAAGGTAAGGTTTTTATAAAGAAGCGGAATGGAGCTACTGTAACGTGCACCGTGACTGTCGCGCTAACGCTGCCCTGGGCCGTTTTGTCCAGCCTGTCTGCACCAGCCCATTGTAAACACTGGAACAGCAATGGCGCCCGCATCACACAGACAGGGAGGAGAAGACCTGCAATTAAATAGTCCATGCTCTTTACAAGGGCTCTCAGTTCACAGCTACGCATGACGGTCGCAATAAAAATGCTGTTATAAAACCTTTATGTCAAGGAGCAAAAAGCTGCTGGTTAAAACACAGATGGTATGTGGTAGAGCTACAGCTATTTAGAATGTACTCACAGTCCATTAAAGTCATTAATAAATATGATCTGATTACCCAGAATATGTAGGTTTCCATTCTAGCAACTTGAGTGCAGCAGCAAAGTGTGCTTAGACTAAATATATATCTATAAATACTGTACCATTCACAAATATTCATCATGGACACCTGTAAGTCAATAGAAATTACGACACCATACTCGCAAACACACATTCAGATGTGAATTCTGTGGAAATCATTGTGCCATCGAGCTCATGCTGAAAATCCTCACTCTCCATTGGAGGTTCTGTGATGGAAGTTTGTAATGTGTGAGTTTTTTGATAAGAATGTAAGCCAGTTAAAAGCAGTAACTGGGACAGGGAGGAGTGGCTACAATGACTGGGCCATAGGACCAGTGAACTCTTGACTTTGCTAGACTGAGTGAAATCATTGGCACCTTTTATGGCTGCTTGTATGCCCTTTTATGACAGAAATGGCCAATCAGAAATGGTCTGGTGCACCGTGGGCCATGGGAATTCAATGTGTGATAAATTTTAGACCTCCAATGGTTTTGCCTTTTTGCATGCTGTGCTTGGATGTGGATCAGCAGTCTGGACCTGGGTCAACATTCCTAATGCAGAACCAATGTGGTGTGGAATCAGCATGGCATAAAAACTTCAAACGCACTCAACAAACTCCAAAATATTCTGCACAGCAGATTAGCCTCCCACAGTGGCGTTTAATTATGCATGCCTCCTCATTGTCTGTGACATCCCTTCTGCTGCAAAACTAGAGACCGTACTAAGCATCCACCCAGACAGTCCAAGGTCCCGCTGCCTCAAGCCTCTGATGAGACTGTAGTGTGGAGGCGGCCGGCTTGAGGCTTAGTCTGAGACTAAGCGCTTCTGCCATGGCAGCTCTCATATTAGCGGCTAATGACCATTAATGAACTCTGAAGATTGTCTCTGTTTACATGAAGAGGACATGGTGAAGACCACCCCAGTCTGACAGCTGTCTCTCTGTGAAGGTCAAACTATTGTTAAGAGATCCACCGACTTCCTGTCTTAAGGGAAAAAAAGCTTCTGAGACCTGCCTATTACTGATAATTGATTTGTTTACTCGGCTCACCTGCACTGTCGAAGTTAATTTCGTAGCGCGATGCTGTTTCTGACTTGGGCATCAGGTAGCAGAAGAAATCGAAGGACTTCCATTCCTTGCTTCTTGTGTTTGTGTTTGTGCAGGATAACTCGGTGTACAGATGGTTTTCTTCGTTTGTGTACAGGAAGACTTTGCTGTGTTTTTCTACACTTCTCACTTTGTTTGTTTCATTCTATTGTCTTTCCTTTTAATATGATCCTCAATACTCAAGGTGTAGTTCAATTTTTGCTAGAGCCCCAGGTTGTGAAATTATTGGAAGTAGCAATTGGCAGTGCAGAGGGGATCAAATCGAATCAAATCCATCTTGTGTCTCACTTGGCACACACGCACGAGGAAGAGTCTGCAAGCATTTGTAGCATTTAATGAACGATGAGCTCTAATCCAAAGAAATGTTTTCCCGGATGGCATGGATGGCATTGACATTCCCCTCCCCCCCCCTCGCAACCCCACCCCTACCCCTCCCCGCCCACAAAGGATGCAGTCACATCAAATGTAGAAAACGGCACATGTCTGAAGGAACAGTGTCAGTCGGCCTCTGACCCACACGCATGCAAGTCGCACTGCGAAGATGACATTCCATCATCAATGGTCTGTCCCTCCTACAGCTTTATACAGACTGAGCCGTCAAATGAAAATAAGATATGATCTAGCGAGCAGCCTGCTGCAGAGGTGTGGAATATTTGCGTCCACGATCCGCCCTGCCCTTTCATTTAGCCTTTGGGCTAAAGCCATAACGAGCGATCGGTGCACATTGACATTTGAAATATTGTGTGTCCCCCCCCCCCCACACTGCACTGGCTCAAGGCAAATGTAAATAAAAGGGATGTGTGGCATGAGCCAAATCGAAGACAGGCCTTGCTCGAAACAGCACGACGCAGCAGGCGGGTGCCAAGCATGTGACTGGGGCCGCGTGTGTCCGCGTCGGTGTTTGCAAACGTTTCTTGGACGCAGTATCAGGGAAAACATGGCGGGCAGGTTGATTTAGGGAGGGCGAGCGGGACATGTTGGGCTGTGAAGGATCCATCAGGCGGACTCTGCAAAAGAAGGAGGCAAGTCTGGGCTGCCTTTGAAGGAGCCTTCGAAATGCGACAGCCTTGTCGCATTCGGGCTTTGAATGCCATCGTAGAAAGGTGCAGCCCCAGAATTCAGACACGCCCCATGATTGAAATGGCGTCTGATATGAACCCAGCGCCAGCACGACAGTAAACCAGCAGTATTTATCATGTGTTACCTTTCTGCTTTCAAAAAGAGAAACAAATATTAGAGATGGACGGCTGTGTGCATGTAGTCAAGTGGTAATTTGCTTATTGTGCCTTTAATTATAAAGGCCAGTATCACCCCGCTGGGACACTTTACTGTACTGTAATTATATTTGTTGGGTCTTACTTAAGCCTATAAAAAGTGAGACCTGGAACAGAGTTGTGGTGAAGGTCCAGGAGCAACACTCTACTTTCCAGTTTCAGCTTTTACTTATAATGTGTTGTATTGTGTATAGTGTCTATTTCGTGTTGACATTTTATTGCTATGTTTTAACTTATATTGTTTAAAGAACGGCTTACATCAAACGTATTTCATTTTATTTCGGTATGAGGAGTATTGTGGTGTTTTATTTTGTCACCAGCACATTTGTAGTTGGTGATGCTATTCTGCTCTTAAAGCTGAAATAAGACTTTAAAAGATATTGCCCTGACTCTGTTGTCTTTTATTTTTTTGCTGTACATTGGGTTTATATGAAGTGGTACTGCTCTCGGGCCCTAATGGCGGCCGGCTGAGCGTACCCTGGGGACAACAATGTGTCTATGCCTTATTTAAACTTTAAACTGGAGTCACTGCCACAAACACGCACACAAACACAAGAGTGCAATCATGTGGAGGCAGAATGTGAAAGAACTGAACCCAAGAGAACGTGTGTGGTGCAGAGAATTTAAGAATTTAAGAATTTCATCTTGAAATTGGGACATATTGTTCATAAATGTTTGAGTTTTATTAAATATTAAACTGAGTTTTTTTATGGTGCTACCAAGAAATCCTCCCCCCCCTAAGATGTGATAAACCCAGCAAAGGTGTCTATAAAAATCATTCTCAGGAACACTACTCGAGGTCATGTTCTCATACTGAATTATTCATCTTGACCTCACGCTTGTCGAACCCCCACCACCCTACCTCTCTCCGTCAGGCTAAGAAACAGGACGCTCCACGTGAGGAACAAGGGCCATCCATCAAGAACCTGGACTTCTGGCCGAAGCTCATCACCCTGATGGTGACGGTCATCGATGAGGACAGGACCGCCTACACCCCCGTGCTCAACCAGTGAGTTCCACACCTTTACAACACGGCTTCAGCCCCTTTTCTAGGATTTTTATCGCACTCGTTCTTGTTCTTTGCTTTGGCTACTTAAAGGCCTTTTCTTTTACAAACCACCAGAACGTTCTGTCAGCCTGATGGCATATAACATGCGAACGATCGACAGAACTACCCCCCCAGACAGCATAGCTCCCAGTATTTTAACTGGTCCCATATGCATCTCAGCCTTCTGCACGTCTAGGACAGGTGGTGGACATCAGCCCAGTTAAATCACACATTGGGTGACCAACATTATTTGGGAGTTTGACCCTGCTAGTGTGAGATGCAATTTTGAGATGAAGGTTCATATTATGGGTGTCACGGCCAATACCAGTATGTGAGAGTTTATAGGCTACATACAACAATGTAATATAAGTATTTGATATTGCAGTTTGGTTGCAGTAGTGTTGTTTTGTGTGGCATTAAGACAGAGAAAGAGAGAATGGGGATCTTAGGGTTCAGTAAAACTGATGAAAATGTGTCAGTGACAGGCTTCACTGGGCAGAAAGTACAGCCTAGTATTTAGCAGCAATAGAGGAGGCTACCAGGCCAGGAAGGCCACAGTCACTCATGCGTATCCATTATGCTGGAGCAGAAATATCACCACATTCACAGGAGAACGAAGCAGCACTTCTAAGATCCAAACCAGAGATCTGTTTCCCTAATAAATTATGAACAAGAGGAGAAGAGCAGCAGTTCTACTGCAGGTGGGGGGCACAGGGTTCTTTTACAGCACTCCTCTCCAATTCCCAAGGGGTACCAAGATGGAGACAGCGTTGTGCTTCCTCTGAGATTTACTGCACTGTTACTATGTGAGTAGTATCCATACCACACGCTAATGGTCCCGCTGGTTTGGGAGAAAGTAACCTTTTTAACCTCAGTGAACAGGCTCATGTTCTGTACTAAAACTCCAGCCTCAGCAGAAAACTGGGTTCTCTCATTTCATGTGTTGTACTAAACCACCGGGCCCAGTAGGAAGATAGGTTCAGTCATTCCATGTTCTGTAGTAAACCACCGACGCTACTTCCTGTGAGCCTCCTTGATGTTGAATGATATACAGTGGTACCTCTGAACTCGAATTTAATCTGTTCAGAACTCCGGATCGAATCCTAAAAAGTTCGAGTTGTGATCGAATTTTCCCCATAAGAAATAATAGAAAAACAATTAATTGGTTCCCAGCCCCAAAAAATGACACTTAAATATGTTTTTTTTTAGCATTTAAACACAAAGTGAACCAGATAAAACATGAAGAGCATATACTGTGCTAAACACAGCTAAGCTCATTTATCAAAACAGTAATTTGTTAAGTAAGAAAATAAATATATCCAAACAATGTGTAAAGTTAAAAAAAACAATGTGTCCTGCCCCAATCGTCTGCTTCTTCCGTGTGCCTCGCCCCCTCGTTAACACCATGTGGAATCCCCGTGTGATCAGCTGTTTCTGGTTGATGTCATCAGTCCTCTGTATTTAGTCCGCGTTTCAGTTTGTTTCCCCAGTCCGGTCATTGTATTGTCCGTCTGTGTTTTGCCAAATAGTGTAAACATGCACGATGCTATCACAGCGAATGTGAGGCTCAGACTAAAGCTTTACCCTTTGTTTCCGCTGAGAGACGTGCCGCGTGACTCATTTCCCCGCGCGTACAAGTTATCTTAGGTCAGCGTTCACGGTTTGACTTCTGAGATTCAGATCGAGTTCTAGGTAATTTTTTTTCGAACTGGTTGGTTAGACTTTTAAGAAATTCGAGTTCTAATGAGTTCGAGAACTGAGGTACCATTGTAATTATGTACATATTGCAGTTTTTGGAAAATATCTCCATTATGTGAATAAGCTGAAATGATAAGTACTACTGTAACTAAATAAGGGGCATAGATTTGAAACTCTCCTTAATTTGCTGTCAGGTGTGATTTAGGTCATTAGTTTCATTGTCAAATATCCTTTGGACATTTCACCCCTACTCAGCATTTTTAGTTTGACCTTACTGACACAGAGGTGTGTCAATATGTGTCTTGCAGTCGATAGAGGATTTGGGCGTCGTCTGTGAGAAATTCCAGCTCCCTGGCCTATTTAGGCAGAAGCTGAGGTGGGAGAAACACTGACTGGTACATAGAGACCCTCTGCATAGAGCAACAGAGTTTGTTTATATTTAACAATGTGAGAAAATCATGCCCAAGTCAGGTAATAATGGCGAGGATGGAAGGCGATGGCAAGGATGGCGATGGCAAGGATGGAAGGCGATGGCAAAGATACTCTCGAGCGATTAATTGCTTATATCTGTGTTCTTTTTTTGGAATAGTTGGAATTCAGATGAAGATATGTTTGTAGTGGACCATTGTTTACATAAGTATAGCCAAATGGAAGAAACACACAGTCGCGGACAAAATTAAGAGACCACAGCACAATTTTTTGTTTCACTCATTTCTCAATTTATGGGTGTGTATCTGTGAATAATATATATTTTTCTGCAAGCTGCAGTCTGGTGGTTCTTCCCTGCTTCTCATTAATGAAGGGCTTCCTTGCTTTGTGGGACTTCAGTCCTGCTTCCAGAAGCCTGATACTAACTATCCTAGCAGTGTATCGCACACCTGCACTTAATGTTCCCCATTCCTTTTGAAGTTCACTTGATGTCATCCTTCGATTCATGAGAAACTGTCGGATAAGTTAACAGTCATCTCTGGCATTACAATGTCGCTTCCGCCCTTTACCTGGCTGGTTTCTGGTTGTTCCCAGTGTCTCCTGCTTCACCTTATTCTTCTGTAGTGTTGTCTTAAAATTTTGAACCTGAAAGCATCCTGCTGCGCAGCGTAGCCTCTGCCAGCAGAACCAATTAAACCATGATTTAAAAATGCAGATTTGTTTAATAATATACAGCGTTCCCTTCATTTTTTCCGTGGCTTTATTGTCTAGTTCATACTTTCACCATGCACTTCTCGTACCTAATATATGTCACCTTCTATGTGCAACGGTGAGCCCAGCTCATCTCAAATCTTCATTCCTGAGGTGATGTTTGAGTTCACGCGGCTTACTGTATTTGGTAGACAGCTGCTATATTTTGGAGGATCTCTCGGAGAAATTCGTTAACACCTGAAACGTTTATAGAGTCATTTGTAAGAAACTTCCGAATCGGTTTTCTGTCTTTAAATTTTTCATTTCACCCCATCAACCTACGGCCATTTTGGGCGGTGAAGTGTCCCCCCCCCACCCCACCCCACCCCCAGGCTTGCTATCAGGCTGCAGAGCTGTCAGGCTATCTGCCTCAGGGAAAACAGCAATGTGATACCCGTCTGGAAGCAGAGTGCTGCTCCTTTGGGGGGGGGGGCACAGGCTGGGGGGGTCCGATATAATGATTACAGTGACCAGGGCGAGAATGAATCACAAGAGAGTTGTACATACGGTGCTAGCATGCCTCAGTGGCATCTCTTCCCTTTTTTGTGTGTGTGGTGGGGTGCTTCTTGTTTCATATTGGGACCATTACTCTCGGCGTAAATGACATCATGCCTTTCCTCGCCTGCCTAAGCAGCTTTGCAGCTGCGCATGACAACACGTTGCTATAGAAACAGAACGATACTCTCAGTCGATATTTAATGAGAAAATGACGTTATCTAGAAAAAGGATACACTTCCATCTCCTTCTGAGATCTTCAGCGATAAGGGTTTTGACGTCAAATACACATGGCAAATATATTCATGTATATATTTGTATAATAGCCTGCATTGACTGGCTTGAAGGTCATTGCCTAACTCTGAACCCACTGCATTATGGGAGTATGAGAGTGTAGCTTTAAATCTCAGTGTCCCTCCATATGTAAACACCTATCTGTCATCTGAAATCTAATTTCAGGTTTCCACAAGAGCTGAACATTGGAAAGATCAGTGCAGAGGTGACATGGACTCTCTTCGCCATGGACATGAAGTACGCCATGGAAGGTCAGCTGTGAACCACGGAAAAGCTGTGTGTATGTGTGTGTGTGTGTGTGCGGGAGTGGATTAGGGTTATATTACCAAATTTCCCCCACAATGTACTAAAAACCTGTTTTTTGACATTGTGGGGACCCTTTTTCAGGTGCCAAAAGTCTTGTATTTTGTTTGTTTACTTATGGTTAAGGTTACGGCTGGGTAGGGGTTAAGGTTGTCATGTTGGGATTACAGGTTTCTCCATAGGGATGAATGGAGAGTCCCCACAAAGATATAATTACAAACCTGTGTGTGTGTGTGTGTGTGTGTGTGTGTGTGTGTGTGACCGCTCTGTGGCTCCCCCGGTGCCTCTCTCTGGGTCAGTCCCACAGCTAAGATCTGTGTGAGGCGTGTTCTGTCTAGTGAAGGCTTGCTGGCTTGTTACCTTAATCAGGTCATTCCTGTCATAGTTCAGGAATCCGTCTAGATTACAGGATACTATCGATCACTAACAGGAGAAGAGGACAGGATTTGCTTTTTTAATCAAGATAAAACATGAATCCTACAGTTGACGTCTTAATAAACTAAAAGCTAGGTGTGGCATTGGATTATTGTTCAAGGGCCCTAATTAGCCTGGTTGTCAAATTACCAGAAGGTAATAGATCCAGTAAAACATCGGATATTGCAGCTGTACCCTTGACAGAGGAGCTTGTTTATTATAAAAAGAAAGAAAAACCATGACATACAAAAATTTGCGGTACATTTACACACCATGACTAAAATGGCTCCAGTAAACATATCTACTGTAAAAGCGAAAATCAGAAGTACTGTATACATTTATGGGGAGGTAATGCTATGGATTATTGTGCATCAAAATGCCGGCATTAGGAAATTCTGTTGAATAGAAGACACATTTTCAGACTGCTGTCTGTCATATTAAACACTCACCTTATAAAATTAAGGTTGATTGCAAAGGGGAAGCATGGAAACCACATATTTATGCTGGTGACCGTCAGTCGGATGTATGCGTTCGGATTATTTATCAGAGAGAGCGGATAGAGCAGGGAGAAAAGGTCAGGCCGCGTGAAGTCCTTGGCTGACGGGTGAAGAGCTTTGCTGAAAGCCGCACCACTCAGCGACTGGGATGTATCTTCAGGCTCACATGTGCATGATACTGGTGGCACTGCAGTTTGCCTTTTGAAGAACTGCCTGGTATTGACAGCGGGGCTGCATGGAGGCACATGGAGACACGTTGATTTTAAGGGGATGACGTGGATGTTCTGGGGCAGCTCAGGGTTAGATTCAAATCTGCAACCTGATGTACGGCAGATTTTCACGCAAATGCCTCTCAGCAGCCGTTGGCTCATGGAGACCGGCGCCCAATTCCTTGCTAAAGTATCACTCCTCCCCATCCTGTCTGCATAGTGTGGGGCGAGCTCTGGCAGCGCGTCGAAGTCACCGTGAAAACCAGCCGTTTTGCGCACCATGCGTTCGCAGAAAGTGTCGCTAGGCGGAGCAGACTGCCGAGTCAGCGCAAACCCACAGCAGCTCTCACTCCAGGCTGTCGTACATCTGAAATAAAGCTCACACACTTTACCCAAATTATCAGCTGTCACCTGCGACTGCGAGGACAGTGATAAACTGGGTATAATTCCCGTGCACTTTAGATTAAATAACTCCAGATTAAGGTCCTCCAGGGACTCAAACTGGAACCTTCTGCTGACAAATCCAGTTCCTTAACAAGAACATCCCCACGGCTGTAAAGTTAAATATACAGTAATCCATAGAGAGGAAAAAGAATTGTGTTCCCTGGGGGTGATGGGGGGGGGGGACGACGACAACATTTATAACAGTTAGACTTCCCACTTAAAGGGGAAACGTTCCAAAAGAGGATGTTTTGACATGTGCTCCACATGTATCATTTTCTGTAATTTTTATAGTAAACTATCAGCCATTCATCACCCAAACACATCCCCAGTCAGTACTGGGTTATGGGTGGGGAAACTCCCCGGATGGGGCACATACACAATGGGAAATGGGAAACCCGCACAGCAAGGGAAGGGCATGTGAGCTCCATATGCGGACCGGGGGGCCGTTCACACCCCCCACCCTGGAGGGCTGAGATGTCAGTACTGCCCACTGAGCCGCGCAAGGTCACTTATCCAGTCCGAGGTCACGCATCATTTTTATTATTGTTGTTCTTGTTAAGGTTGAATAGTTCATATAATAGTTTGAATAATATTAAACGAAACCCGTTAACTCATGGGTGCAAATTAGCTTTGCGGAAACTACGGAATAGCTTCCTCCGTTACGAAAATTAATGAGAATTCCCTGCAATTTTACAGGATAAGTGACATCCTTGCTGCCAGAGGATTTTCCTTATTCAAAGTCATTTTCCTGCAGGATTATAGAGTTACCTGAAGAAAAAAAAAATACACCAGCCACCAGAATGCTCTAATTTTAACATGCCATCGCTCTCTCTACACTATTTACATATTTATGTTCATATGGAACATAATGCCGCTGTTCTCCTTCACCCTGCTAATGTGATTACATCTCAAAATGATTTTATGAATGTGGGTTTCTTTTTGAATATATGGCTTTGGACATTTATTGGAATGGAATTTCATTATGCAGTTTTTCTGTCGAGGTGTCTCGGTGCCATGTGGAGAGGCCGTACCCACGTACTATTTAAGAATCTCGAATTTCACACCTCATGCCCCGGCTTTGGCCTCCCAGTCGCGTCCGTTCACTGGGCAGCAGAAAGAACAGCCAGGTGCTATCAGGAATCGTCTGTTCGTGCCGTGGTCGCCTCAGCCAGAGGACACCCAGGCCATCTCCTTCTGATCGAACTGGGCCCACATCCAACCGTCTTACCTGTCTAAACACTTTCCTAGCTGGCTAGAATTTGGGCGGAAACTGAATATCATGTTGTCAGGAATAAAGGATCCTTAAGGTTATGTATTATTCAGTTTCAGTTTTAGCCAATGTTCTAACAGTCCAGAAACTCCAAGAGAAATTGAAGACCTGAAACGCTGAAGCGCTTAAGGCAGCGGGATACTTCCTGTGGTTGTTTGCCGCTGACAAATGATGCGCGAACAGAACCTCGTCACCATGGTAATGTGTGAATTTGGTGATTGCCAGAGGAGCAGCCAGAGGCTCCTGAGAAACTGGGCCTGTGATACCTGATTTCACATTTACAATCAGTCCCACGCCTGGGCTAAACACGCACAGGCGACAAAAGGAATCCTTCCTTTGTGTTGCACAGGAATGTGATGCAATTGTGCGCATGGAAATGGACCGAAGCGAATCCTTAGACAAAAAGACAACAGCAAGCTTTTGTCTGTTGAATGAAAATGGCCTTTTTCAGTACGATTCATGTTTGTGCTGTAGAAAGGCAGTAATTCCGTCTTTATGAATTCATCATATCCGTATCATCAGAAGGTTCGCATCTCGGCCCCACGGCTTCACTCTGCGGACCGAATGCGAGCTCCTCTGAAACAATGGCAAGGGGAACGGGCTCTTCTTGGCAGCCCTGCTAATTGGCCCACAGAAGATATGTGATTAATGGTTTGCTGCTTGCAGGACTGGTCAGGGGACAGGACGGAGTCTCCTGCTCCACACCTGCTTTTATCTTTGCCTCCCATAAGAAGCTGGGACTGGGATAATCTCTGCACAAAGGCTTTGGTGCAGATGAGCTTTGATTTATATCATACACTCCTTAGTTTCTCCAGTTATCTCTCTCTCTCTCTCTCTCTCTCTCTCTCACTCTCTCTCTCTCTCTCCCTCTCATGTAATTTCTGCTAACATTAACCCATCATTTCTGCATTTAAAAATGACATATTACATGCTGTGAATATTAATTAACTGCATAATGTATCTGGTATATGCAGGTATGTGTTATTCCTCCCACCAAAATAGTTAGTGAGCAAAACGTGAACAAGGCCACTTTAAGGAAGGCTGTGGAGATCGTGGAAAAATGAGCAGAGAGCCCAAAAGCCAAAGCACTACAGAAACCAGCAAATTGATTCAGTGAAGAGTATTTAACCCTGGTGTGAGTGCGCAGACCCGGGGAGCCGGCGGCCACTCCCTGCAGTCTGTCTAATCCACCCAGTGACCCCCTTTAATCCCTAAAGGGGGAGCAGGTCCAGTCAGGGTCAGCCGGGCTTCATTACTTGAGGTCTCCTTTCTTCTGATTTCGGGTTATTCTTATTCTGTTAAAAATATAGTATTTCGGGTATCTTCATGTGCTTTGAACGTACTCGGATGCCGACTTATCTGATAGGTACAGTGCGCACGTTAGCATCTAAGCCTGGCTTTGCATTCATCTGGGAGTCACTACTGTTGGTGCAGAGAGGTGAATAGAAGGTTCTCGGCCCATACTGGTGCACTGCATGTCCTCCTGGATGGTACGCATGGTGGTAAACGTGGGCATTGTAGCAGGCTGGGGCTTAGCATCCCAGCACGACGGGACAGACGTGACGCAGCGTGTGCCCTGTTCTCCAGCACCCCCCCTCGGGAGGCTGCCGCCCTGGTACCAGCCGGCGCGTCTCGCCGTGACAACATGTCAGTCGCAAGCCACACTGTTTCCACAGGGGCTGCAAATCAGGGGCACGTCAATCACGCACAGAAGCCCTTGCTGATCCATCTCGTTTAGGCGCTCGACATCGCTTTTTACCCAGTGTGAATTCAGTTATGGGAGACGGGAGACCGACGTACGGCACTGTTGCACTGCACGTCATGCAGAGGCTGCCCCTGCCTCTCACTGCCTACAGAAACATACCAGAATCCATTACTGCTGCCATGCAGATTTCTGAGAATCTCTGACATTTATTTCACCTGCAACTTAGAGAGCAGTCCTCCAATAGATCTGGGCCAAACACTGCAAGCAGAGAATTATCACACTGCAGTGGTGGCAGATGTACTAAAATTAAAGAGATCTAAAAACTTCTTCCTTATTATAATGCAAACCTTCAAAGTATGAGGCCTTCAAAAAGGCCTGCAATTAAGGTATACTTCTGCTGCACCAGCTC